TAGTCGACCAATGAAGATGAGTTTACATATCACCTTGGGTTCGTCCTTCACCTTCTCAAAATGATCCCACACTTTGGATTTCCTGCCCGACATGTTATTAACTAGCCTGTGGAATAACTGCAGGTACCAGCCCTGGACATTAACCTGACTCCTGTCTGACTGCTGAGCGTAGACACTTCCTGTGTCTGTCCTTTCAAATTAAATTCCCACATGGTCCAGTCATACAGGTTGTGATTTGTTTTGACAAGGCGCAGCTCCTGATAGAGTTCTACTCTTTTTTTTTTTTTTTACTGTGACTGAGCGACCAATGAAATCTTGCCGAACATTTGGTCGACTATAAGAGGGCAGCCCTATGAAGGGATGGTATTTTATATTCAAAAGGTCAAAGGTCAGCTTCACTGTGACGTCATAATATTGTGCATAGAACACTTCTGGACTTTATTCAATGTCATATCTCAGGAACAGAAGAGGAGACATTTGTTCAGATAGTGAATTTGTGACACTAATCTTGGGTAGAGATTAGCCAAAATGACCATTGCTCAGCGGAGGAAGTCTTGGCCCAGATGTCCCCTTTACCTACCTTCACTGGAACCACCTAAATATTTGTATTTGCCCCTAGAGGCTAATTGTCCTCAGAGCGATAGCTGATTAGTTTAAAGATGTAAAGCAGGTGAAATTATCTCACCTTTATGTTCGTTTTTTTTTTGTTTGTTTGTTTGTTTGTTTTTTCATTTAAAAGTCAGTAACACCCAAAGTGGCCATTTAAAATTGAGTTTGCAGTGCACAGATTACAAAAAAGATTAAAGTCCCTTCAATGTACTTTATTTCACCAGGATAATCGACTCAGTATCATTGATGCTATCATTAAGGGACTCCTGGGATTTATAAAAAAACAAACTTTACAACAGTAAAAACAAAACATAGCAGCAGTATCAAAAGCAGCATTTCAGGCTGCAGGAATTTCCAGGAGATGTAGATCCCAGCGCAGCCTTCACTGCTGACCTTTGCGGCCTCCTGCACAGGTCTGTCATGGGCGCTGAATTAAGAAACAGACATTCAGATGACCTCTCTCATGTTGACCCCTCAGCTGACGCAGCAAGAGTCTCTGGTCGCGCTATTCGACAACCGCACGTGGTGCCGCCAGGGCGTGGCAGAGGAATTCGACTACATCAGCCACAACCACGCTTGGAAGCACCCACAGGTCAACGTCTTCATCACACTCATCCTCTTCATCATCATGAAGGTAGGCCTTTGACATGTGTCTATAGAACATTGTCTGATTTGACTTTTGATGATTCGTCACACGTGCTTGTCTCTTTGTTTCAGTTCTGGATGTCCGCTGTGGCCACCACCATGCCTGTCCCATGTGGAGCCTTCATGCCAGTTTTTCTTATTGGTGAATACAATCTACTGCATTTTTTAATGTCTCTACTGCAGTGGTAAGAAGCTCTCTAACTAATTTCCTCCATCTTTGTGTGACGGACAGGTGCAGCATTTGGCAGACTTGTCGGAGAGATCATGGCAGCCATGTTTCCTGATGGCATACATGCAGTCGGCAACGTGTATCCCATAGTCCCCGGCGGTTATGCTGTCGTTGGTGAGTTCTCTTTTTCTGTAATTCACCATTTTGTATCTGATTTGCCTTGATAACTAATTTTCAGGCCATTTTTCACTTTTCCTCTCTCCTGTGTGATTGGAGTCGTCCCCGCCACAGAGGCTTCAGACTTCATACCAGCTTATAGAATGTGACTGATGAAAACTGATTCCACTTAAATTGGACTACATTTTGGGCCGAAGTAAAATAGAAAATCGTTCCATACAAAATTACCACGGTCGTGACTCACTGGTTAGCGTGACAGGAGGGCGCTAAATGTTATGAATTAGAATGACATCCCGCAGAAAATCTGGTTTGGATTTGCTGTCTTGCACGAAAATCTTCCCTGATTAATCACACACAGACAGTGTGCACATTCAACATCACATTATACAATCTAATGTTTAATTCCTGTTAAAAAAATATGTTTGATCTCCTCTAATAACTGCATTAATGGTTTTAAAGAGGCTAGACAGAAAAGGATTTTTCTTAAATTCCCTCCTACACAGGTGCTGCAGCGTTGTCTGGAGCAGTCACCCACACTGTATCCACAGCAGTCATAGTGTTTGAGCTGACTGGTCAGATCTCCCACATCCTGCCTGTGATGATCGCTGTGATCCTGGCCAACGCCGTGGCCCAGGCGCTCCAACCATCACTGTACGACTCCATCATCCGCATCAAGAAACTCCCTTATCTGCCTGAACTGGGCATGGGACATCACGAGTGAGTCTGCAGCGTTCACATTAGCCACCTGTTTGTTTTCAGTGAATGCTCAGGACGGAGCAGCCCCTTGTATTTATATTTTTTATTCTTTTTTTCTACTGATTCTGTGCCCTCATTTGTTTTGTATCTCCTGTCTCGCTTTTCATTTCCTTCCCTTTCTTGTTTCTGTGTCTCTTTGCTCCCCCTTCTCATCACTTCCTCCCCTCTTCCATGTTTCAGGAAGTATAATATCCGTGTGGAGGACATCATGGTCAGGGATGTGCGCTTTATCACTCTTAACTCTTGCTATCGGGACCTGCAGGAGATGCTGCTGACTGGTCATCTCAAAACACTGGCCCTGGTGGAGTCCAGCGGTGAGTGCATGGCAAAAAAAACCCCATCTTTGTAAGTCTCAGGGTTCAACTTCATAGTAGTGCAGCAGTCCTGTCAAATTTCAGGACTCAGGCTACTGGTGTTTCGATTCAAGTGTTGATATAATACCAGGGTTTCAGTATGGAAACCTGATTTTCAGGAATATGAACGTGTTTTTCTATAAATATTAAAAAAAAACAGCACAAAACAGAATTAACCACGCTGCTTGTGTGATCTTAATGTAACATCTATTGCATGTCTGTCCATCCTGGAAGAGCGATCCCTCCTCAGTTGCTCCTCCTGAGGAATCTACTGGGTTTTTTTACAGTTTTTGAGGGGGAGTTTTTCCTTATCCGCTGTGAGGGTCCAAGGACAGAGGGATGTCGTATGCTGTAAAGCCCTCTGAGGCTTTATAGATAAAATGGAATTGAATTGAACACACAGGAAGTTTAACTCTAGAAGATAATGAATTTTTGGTATTTAAGAGTTTTTGATACCTAATTCCCTGATAGACACAATTGTCAACTCGTTACACTCTGTTTTCATCTTCAGTCTGGCACTGCTCTAATTGATTCTGTTGGAAAGGGAGATTCAATTTCCCAAAACCAATCAACGCACCAGGGCATCTGCCTGAACCTAATGTGATTTTAAGTCAACCCTTATCTGCCCCACAATGCACCGAACCCTGATTCCTGTCCCTGTGGGTGGTGGACCCGCAGGGCAGCTGTGCTCAGCCTTACAGATTGGGTAAGGTGCTCAGACATCCAGAGGAAGCTCGAAGCTTACGTGTCGAAAGGGGTCAGTCGAGGTGGTTCCGACATCTGATCAGGATGCCTCCTGGGCGCCTCCTGTTACAGGTGTTTCGGGCCTTGGGGGCCCCCAGGAAGAGCTGGAAAGCATTGCTAGGGAGAGGGACGTCTGAGGTGCTTTGCTTGGCCTGCTGCCCCCGTGACCCAGCCCCGAATAAGCCTGTGAAAATAGATGGATGTATGTATCTAGCCACATCTCTATTTTGTCTATAGTGCTCACCATTGTTGTAATTACTCCTCAGTGGTTCTGGCGCACAATTTGACACCGTTTGAAAAACAGCTTAATAACGGCGTTAGTCCAGCCTTTGGTGCTGATTGGATCATTTTGTATTTTAACTGAGAAACCATTGTTTAATGTTACGATGCCAGTCAACTCAGTGGAGTGGGCAGATTCAAAGGTCTGGACGCAGCAGATACCACATCCAACAAGCAGTCAGGTTAGATATTCAGTCTTGTTCAGGACAAAGAACTTAACTGCTTCTCAGTTGAAATGATGTCACCAATTTTGATAGGATTATTTAAAGAATATTATAATTAAAGTTATTATCTGTCACTTTTATCTCATTCCCCTACTTAACAAATTTCCTGTCACCTCTGTCTGTCCTTTTCTGCCCCTCCTTCAGACTCCATGATCCTGCTGGGCTCCATAGAGCGCCTGCAGCTCCAGTCGCTGCTCGCTCTTCAGCTGGGCCACCAGCGGAGACTGGAGTACCTCCGCCAGCTGGCCCAAGACAACGGCACCCACAATCACCTGCCCAGCCTGACCACCGACAGCACGCCCAGCTCCCCCTCCTCCCACACCAACACCAACGCCTCGTCCAACACCAGCGCTCGCCAAGCGGTCCGCTTCCTGGTGAGCACCCAACAGGTGTGAGGCGTCCGGGGGCGCCAGGGCTGGGCTGGGGCCAAGTGTGGGTTGGGTTGTAGTGGTAGACTAAAAGTGGATCAGCCACAGCATGTGTGAAGCATGTAGCAGTAGGTAAAGGCACAGATGGAGTTTTTGGACAACTGTTGTGGTAAGTGTTTACTGTTAACTGTGAATGTGCTTTGATCCTACATTAACATTAACACATGTCTTCTGTGTCTCTGTCGTCTGTGCCCTTACCTGTGCTGTCCTGTTTGTTTATGTGCATGTGCTCATATTTGTTTTTTTCTGTGGCCTTGTTTGTATTTGTGTATGTGTGTTTGTGCATGCGTGCTTGTGTCTGGCTTCCTCTGTTAATATATTTTCCATGTAGATCTCCACAGAGGAGTCTTCCTCCTTCAGCCCAGTGGTTTCCAATGTTCAACTTCCTCTGAAATCTGCCTTGAAAACTGTGTCCGCCATCAGCAACACAGAGACGCCAAATAGTATGTACTTTACGTCGCTGCCAACCTGGAATACTGAGAACAAACACATTGAAATAATAATATTTCAAATCCAGATGGAATAAAAAACGATTTTTGTGTGTTCTCCCCGAGGCTCTCAGACCCTCTCCTGTGCTGACCAAGACAAAGAGCTGCTGGAGGTGAGCAAGATAGAGGGATACCATGTATGTGTGGGTGCAAGTGTACCGTATGAATGTGACATCGTATACGTGGGTGTGTGTGCTCTCTCTGAGTCCACGCGTATGCTGTCCTCCACCTCCTCCTCCTCTGCCTCCTGCTGACGGGCAGGATCCACCCACAGGCAGCAGGGTTTTCCTGTGTGATCTCATGCTGTCAAGTTTTGTTTTAAAACTTTTGTGAGTCACTACACAACACATTCACTGCCAGTCAAACGTTTTTGAACATCCTACGTGTTAGCATTTTTGGTTATATTTTAAAACACAAAGGACTGGACAGCGCTCCAGTTTGACTTTTTAATGTTGCCACAGGGATGTTTCTTACCTGAAACATCCTTTATATCTTAAGCAAGTAGTGCAGCGCCCGTTCAAAACATGCCTGTGCTAGAGTTTATGCATCATTTGCTAACAGTCATTTGGGACCAGGCTATTTCCTGGAACAAAAAACCCTTCATTCCAAAAGTTACATTGCTGATTCTTGAAATGTTTGCTACAGTGTAACATCTCCAGTCTCTCTTTTTTTATTTGTTCTTGAATGTACTATAGCGAGTGACAGAGAGGAAGCTATACCCAACTGGCAAAATTGAAGCCAACATCAAAGTACCAAAAACTGCAGTTCCTTGAATGACCACTTGAGGCTGGCTCCAGAAGCGAGTCAATCACCGCAGACACCGATGTTAAAATGCCCAACTTTACAGCAGAAATGTTCACAGCCTGGCACAAAAAACGTTTTACGTCTCGTTAGCTAATTTCTTCATTAATAACATCAACTCACCCATTTTAATCTGTCCAGATACGGTCATTTCCAGCTCCAAAAATCCAAGATGGCAACGGCAATACACCTGCCAAGTGTGAAGTTGATCAGATGAACAATTGTCAGGAAAATCAAAGGACCGACAGACAGACAGAGACTCCTCTCACTTTAGTTAGATGCATAATGGTGTTTTGTAATGTCGTAAAGACATTGTCGACGCACTGGTGGGTTATTCATTATTCAAACACACAGAACTTTATTCCAATTTTGTTGGAGATCCCAAAGTTTACAAAGTACCAGTCTGTCAGGATCAGTTTTGGGGAAATGTGTACAAACATACAGTATTTCCATTTGATGAAAAAATTGAGTCATGGGTTTAAATATTTCACTCCGTGTAAATGTCATGTAGCTCATAGTTACCAAACTCTTTCTGTAATGCCCCCTTTGTGAGCAATGAAATCCCCTCGTCCACAAATTTTGAGAAAAGTTGAAATGTTTTAAAATAAATTTAATCAAGAACATGAGCCAGGCATTTCTTTCTTTCTTTTTTGGTTGTATTAATGAACAACACTAAGGGTCTAAGGGTCTAAATGTTCATCATGCTGTTTAGCTGCTACAATGTTCACTTGTTCGCCACCTTAGTTCAGCGTGTTAGCATTCTAACATTCACTAATTAGCATCAAACACAAAGTAGAGCTGAGACTGATGGGGTTGTTTTCAGGGTATTTGGTCACGAACCAAACTGTTTGACAAATCAAGAGTTTTGACACAAGAAGAAAAGTCAAAGGATCATCAAAGTTATTACATTTCATCCTGAGGGAAACATGGATGAACAAAATAATTGTGGAGACATTTCACTGGAAACCAAAAAGCTGATTTAATAATCTGTAACAGTGTCAGTCAGGGTGGAATTATTTCGTTTTTGTCGACCTTTAAGCTCCTTAAGGGGACATTTGAGGGAAAAGAAAGTGCTGAACAAAAATGTTAAAATGTGAGGTGTTCAAATACCTTTACTCCAGCAGTGTCTCTACCATCCAGTGTTGTATTAACATTGGGTTCCATGTACAGATTTTGTGCCCTCACCTCACCTTCATTCGTGGTGTAATAATTATACCCTTTCAGCAACATTGTGCTCACATCTCAGGGACTTCTGGTAAAAGTCAGACTGGGATCCAGTGTTGCAGAGACACCATGTAAGGGTGTCAAACTGTTCGCTGATGCTGTGTTAATGTTGTGCTGTGTTGATGCCTTCTCTCCCCGACTGGAAGAGCCCGGCTGGGCCGGCTCCTCCTGAAAAAAGAAAGCCCAAGCCCAAACGAGTGAGGATCTCCATGGCGGTAAGATTGTCTGCCGCCTAGAGACTGTTGCTTAGTAACCGTTGCCTTGCGACACACACGTAGTGAGTGCTGGACCAAAATATTTATGGTGCACTAGTCAAAGCATTGGAGTGGCTTTGCAGAGAGAGCGAGAGAAAGTGTGTGTGTGTGAGAGAGAGACGGGGCAATTTCTTTGTTAAGTGGTAACGGTTTCATCATCTTTTCAACATCAGTGTTAAACCAAATGTTACATCAGCTTTCTCTCTGTTAGTGCTCGTTCTGTGTGTGGTGGTGTCATCATGTCTTTTGGAGAATTTGTTTTGTGTTTAATTTGAAGGTGCTTGACTCTTTCAGTTGGTGGTGTTATTGGTGTTGTCAGTATAGTTTTATGGGTGCTGGGTTCACAGTTTGACCTGTTAACCAAACTGTGCTCTCACCTTTACCTCTGAAACTCTCCATGTAAGTCATTGGATTACAGCTCTGTATTTCACACACTACACTGACACCAACAAACAGATCCCCCCCTCATATTGCTCCCTGTGTAATGTGTGTGTGCTGGTACACTCTACAGTGTACACAATGGTGTGAATTGTACTATATACATACTATGTATATAAGACTCAGTGTGTGTGTGTGTGTGTGTGTGTGTG